GAGATGTCAATCTATCTAGCAGGCCACTTTTTACTAAGTTGATAGAATTATGTTTTTCGTAGTGTACCAACAGCGTACCATAGCGTACCTTCAACGATTTCGAACGTACCTAGCAAATTCCTTGTTTTAGAGTATCCTGCTAAATAGACGGGTGATTTTTCGAAAATCTTCGTTAAACCTTCCAAAACCTTCACCAATGTAGTGTACCAATAGCGTACCTACCGAATCTAAGGTTCTGTTTTAACGTACCGTAATTTACCGTACTTACTTATATAAAACTCTTTAAAATGCATTATATGTTATATTTGATTACGGATTTGGATTTATCAGAAAATTTTAACCCTGTTTGATCTAAAAAACATATTACTTAAGTGTATTCTACGCTACTTAATGACCAAAAACGTGATTTTAAAACAAGTATATCGAAATACCCTTGAATATCTTTACCATCTAGCTAAACATTCTGTTTACCCCTCAAAGCAGATAACCAACATGGGAGATGGCATTTTTTAATATCTCTAAAACAAACATTATCAATCTGTATGGGTACAGGTTGAACGTACCTCAAGGCAACTCAAGTTTATATGGATGGGATGGGATTTTCTAAGCAAAATTGATCTTTTATGATTATTTAAGAAAATACGTAGCCGGTGGGGATTTTTCTGAGGCATAAAAAAGGGGAGTAAAGCCATTGGTCTCGGCCCATGTGTGAAGAATGGATGCGATATACTATGCAGGTGTGGAAGCTGCCTTCCTGCACATTCGATTGCCGTCAATGGATGGTCGGTGATTGGCACTAGATTGCGCAGCAGAGTCCGACGTTAAATAAAGGAATAAAGAAGATCCACATAAACTTGAGTTGCCTTGAAGTACGTTCAACCTGTACCGATGCACATTGTTTCTAGAACTGCCATTTAGAATGCCATCTCCCATGTTTGTTGGTTATCTATTTTCAGAGGTAAACAGAATGTTTAGCTAGATGGTAAAGATATTCAAGGGTATTTCGATGTACTTGTTTTAAAATCACGTTTTTGGTCATTAAGAAGCGTAGAATACACTTAAGTAATATGTTTTTTGAGTCAAATCGGGCTAAAATTTTCCGAGAAACCCAAATCCATAGTCAGATTTTACATATAATACAATTTGAAGGAGTTAAACATAAGTAAATATGGTAAATTTTGAGCAACGTTAAAAATCAACCTTAGATTCGGAAGGTACGCTAATGTTACACAACATTGGTGAAGGTTTTGGAAGGTTTAATGATGATTTTCGAAAAATCACCCGTCTATTCAGCAGAATACTCTAAAACAAGGGATTTGCGAGGTACGTTCAAAATCCATGAAGGTACGCTTTGGTACGCTGGTGGTACTCTACGAAAAACATAATTTTATCAACTTTTGCTAAAAGTAGCTTGCTGGTTAGATTGACATCTCAAAAGTGCCTGAGTAAAGTGCTGGATAGATTTACATACTTTTGAGCAACCCAGCAAACAATTTGAGCTGATTAAAAGCTGAATAAGCTGTTCTTTAGCTGAAGAAGCATAATTGTACCTGTATAAGCTCTTATTCAGTTATCAATGTGTGTAAGAAAACTGCAATCACCCTCTCAGACTCGAAATGTGCCACGACCAACCTGACACAACGATGCCCTATATGCTCTCTGATCAAAGCGCAGGGTATGACAGAATTAAAAATTGACGCCAATATCCATCAAGGCTAATGATTTGAAACCATTCGTCTTGGTGCCAACAGTTCTTTCCTTGATTTGTTTTCCGTCGATCTTGATTTCCGTGGATCTTGTTTTCCGTGCTGAGCACCAATGCTACCGACGCCAGGGAGGCAGCTTCTGCACCTTTACCTCATTAACCGTTATTCATTACTTCATTAACCGGGGACCAACGGCTTTACTTCCCTTCCGACGGATGACGTGATCAGAGATGTTATGCCTCAGAACATCCCGGCGGCACCGACTGGGATTGAAACCAGGCCTGCTGGGGGTAAAAGGTAATCACGGTTATCACTACAGCACCGGTGCCGCTAGTGCCAACAGTTAATAGAACCAATTTTGAAAACTTGTTATCTTGATAATTTTGAAGTCGGAGCCAACACTCATCCAAACTATTTCTCAAAACAATTGTAAATGATACAGAAGTTACGGTGATCTTGAACAATTCAATTTGGTGTCATGAACGATTTACAAAAATGAACATCAATTAAGACCAATGATCCAAAATAATTTGCGTTGGCAGCAACAATCAATATAATCGATTTTCAAACAATTCAACAACGTCAATAGCTATCAAGACCAATGATAATAACCAATTCGAGTTGGCACCAACAGTCAATATGACCGATAAAAAAAAATTGACGATAATTCGAGTTGGCGCCAACGATCAATTTTCATAATGAGGGATCTATATTCTCTACAAGTTAGCGCCAACATTCATTTAACTTCTTCTCATAAATTTACGTCAACTTTTAGTGGCATAGCCGTTCCAAAATAAATTTGCGCTAACAGGCAATATTTTAATAGTTGAGAGCTAAGCAGTCAATGCCTATCCTCAACTGCAGCAAGGCAAACTATTTTCAATTATTTTGAATCAATAATTCAATTCAATAAATTCCAATCAAAATATTCAGGCATTTTAGGAAAAACACAAAAAATATATACTAAAGATTTCAAAAGCATAAAGTTTTGGTTTGCAATATGATGAGGTTTGTTAGATCTAAATCAACAGTAAATCTGGATTTATACGGTTCACGTTAGTTTTCATAATAGGCATTTAAATTCAATCAAATTGATCCTTAATAAAGATATAAAAAAATAATCATGAGCCAAAAAACGTGCTCATACACACACAATCTAGCTCGGTGAAATCTCCAACAGCCGATAACCTTGGCATTTACTTTTGCTGATACGTCTGCAAAATATCTGTTTGTTAGCCACGATCTAAAAAAAAATGTTAGCTGTTGTTTTACTTAATCGCAGCAAAATAAATTGCAGAACTATTCAGCTGTTGAAATTTTGGCAAACAAGATTAGTGGTTTGGACCAACTTTTGGGATGATCTAGATTGAATTATTTATTTTTCTTTTAATTATCATTAAAGTCGGAGTCGGTACTTTTTTTCGACTTCGACTCCAACTCCACGACTCCGACTTCTTTGCCACAGTCAGCACATGGGTCATCATTTGTAGCAATTGTAGAACTTACATATCTCTCTTCTTCTTTTTCACATTTCAAGCTGATTGCATATCGCATATTAGCTTATTGCGTGCTCTCAACTTAGTGTTCTAGATGCACTTTCACAATTATTAACTGAGAGCTTTCGATGCCTGTACCATTTTTGCATTGGTATAATTGTGTGGCAGTCCAATCATACTTCTATGCCCAGGGAAGTCGAGAAATTTTCCAACCCGAAAAATTCCTAGACCGGACCGGGAATCGAACCCAGCCACCTCCAGTATGGTCTTGCTTTGTAGCTGCGCCTTTACCGACTGAGCTAAGGGAGGCCCCACTTACATATCTCACTTATCCCAAAACATGTACACAGTTAAAAAAAAGTAGTGTAAATTTCCGGTAATATGATGCATATAATTGGAGCGTCATATATCATATATTCTCAATCGTTCAAATTTACGAGACATTTAATTCATTATTCCAAATATTGTATGCAACCGTCCATCTTCGTAAGCATTTCTTACAAGTTGCTAGTTTGCGTGAAAAGGAAGTTAACATACATGGAAATTCACCTCACCAGTAAAATTGAGATTTTTTTTCTGTGTACTCATTGACTGCCACTATACAACAGTCAAGTCGTGAGGTGTCATAAATTAATACCTAATTCACATCACCCGACCACCACCACAGCCGCCAGAGTCAACCGAGAAGCCCCATATTGAAAAGGAAGACTCCTGGTCCCCGTATCTCGCGTCGTCGTCGTCGTCGTCGTCATGTTCCCTCTCTGAATCCATCTCACTCGCTGAAACACGGTTCAATGCCCTTCTGATGGATTGCTCCAAGGGCTTATCGCTTTACCATTTGTTTACCTTGTCCCATTCAGTCGTTGTCATCGTCGTCGTCGCTTGCCTTTCACGCCTCGCCGCGGATCCATTGATTTATTTGGCAATTGAAAAGAAAAAAAAAAGTTTTCCCAGCTAGTCGTTCGAGAACGCGGAAGGCGAATAAATCACCTTCTGTTTGGATTACACAATCGGATAATTTTCTTTCCCTGGATGGGAGAAATTTGAGGAATGTGAGCGTGACGGAAGATTGCGCAAGAGCGTAGGAAATACGATCGCTCCCGAGATGTGAAGAATTCCAATTCGGACGAAACCAATTTGTGATAATTTATTCAGATCCCAGATTGGGTGCTTTGATTGATAGATGGATGGTCGATCGGTGGGTTTTGGTTGGAAGGAATTTGGAACGAATGTTTCCAGGGATTTAGGATGGTCACTTGATCTACCGGGTCGCGGCACGTGAGATTCGGCGCAACGGTACTTGACGTGGCTGTTCTGATCTACTTTTGATTCGGGTTTGTCAAGAAATACCAGTTTCAATGAACGGATGTTTGAATATTTAAAAGACCTAATGATGTGTTTCTGATGTTGATCCATTCATCATTTCGTGGTTGTCGAAAGCAAACATCTATTTAGCATCAAATCGAATCAGCTCGTTGTGTTTGTAAGCAAAGCACTTTGTCTGGCAACCAAGTACGATAACATTCATAACTAAATATGATGTACGTTATGACAACGGTTTCACCACTTAATTAAACGTGACTTCGTAAACTTTGGACAATCATTCTAAAGCTCACATTTAACCTTATCCAACCTTGACTTCCAAGAAAAGAGTCAAAACGCTGGTCGAAAAACATTGCTTTGGCACGTGACAGTCACGCCCGAAAATGTGCGAACCTTTATCACCCACCAATACGCCCATATAAAGAACACCCTAACCTAGCTCTCGTTTCAGTTCCTTTTCAATTCCACCGAAACGATGACGTGCTTGCCGCTAATCCTGTCACTCAAACTTCTACTGCTGGCAAACGAAGTTTCCTCGGCCATCCACAGTGCCGCCGTAAAAACTCCTGCAACCTTGCACTACGAATGCACTCAATATCTCCAACCGGACGACAATGGCAACTGTACCCCATATTGCATAGCATTAGCGGCTCGCTTCTGGGATGACGACCGAGACCGCCCATCTCGCACCATCAGCCGATTCTACCTCCCCGACTCTAACGACTGCAACTACTGGAACCGCACGGAGAAGTGTCTTCAAGAAACACTTGGAAATCTCCCATCTTGGAAAAGCTGTCAACGGGCGACCTGCGCCCTCATGTGTCACGATGATCAGTATGGGGAGCTGATCACCGAGCAGCCGTCCTTCATTCCCTTTACCGAGCTGCAGCATCGGCGAATCGTTCGGCAGTGTGTGGATATTCTGCAAATCGCGCCAGCAGCAAGGCAAGCGATTCTGGAGCAGGGTTTGCTAGCAGTACCGGAAGGCAGATGCCTGCTGCGATGTGTTATGCTACGAGAGGATCTGTACAACGATCGTGAAGGACCGAGGCTCAGCTGGCTGTGGATTCAGACCGAGGGGTTCGAAGATCGGTTCTACGATACGGCGCAGAAGTGCTACCCTATGTTGAAGCTGGAAACGTCGGAACCATGCCTCTTGGCAGCCAGGTTCGCCGCGGAGTGTCTGCCGTCCAGGATACCGATCGTGGACACGGTGTACCGGGCGTTGTGTATTTTGGGGAATAAACAACCTTCTTGTGAGGACCCATGTGATGATTAGATGATTTGTTTTTTTTTTTTTTTGCTGTAATGGAAGTATTCTGGAGTTATTTGAGCTCATCTAGTCACTAAGATCTAGGATGTGTGAACGTGGAATAGTTTCTCAATGGTTCGGTCGAAATTGGTGATGGAAACATGGATTTGGATCAGGAAAACTAGTTAGGGTGCTGCTGCGATAACGGAGCCTTGAGGGACTCCGGTCTCCTCGCTGAAACTTTTCGACCGCTTGTTCCCCACCAATACACGGAATGACCGGTCGGTCAAGAAGTTTCGTATGAAATACACCATACGCCCCTTCAAGCCCCAGTTTTTAAGTTTTTCCAGGACGGCTGGCGTCCACGTCCGGTTGAAGGTCTTAGAGATGTCCAATGAGATGATTTCAACGTGGTGTTCCTGGTCGTAAGCTTCATTGAGGACGTCCCCTAAAGTGGGAAAGTACGTGGACGTTCCGAATCCTTGTCGAAAGGCATGTTGTCGGTGGTCGAGCATGCTGTTGGTCTCAAGGAACATCTTGAGTCGACGGTTCACCATTCGTTTGAATACCTTGGCCATGCAGGATGTGAGAGCGATCGGCCGGAACTTAGATGTGCCCCTGTCTTTTTTGTTTGCCTTCGGGATGGGCACGACGAGATCCCTCCTCACAGCGTCGGGTAGGTATCCGAAACCCAGAGTTGGTTGAGCATCTCAAGTATGCAACATTTGCCCTCAAGAGGCAGCTTTTTTAAAAGTGGATACCCGAGAACGTCGGGTACCGCAGATTTTCCGTTGCTGCGGCTTAGTGCGTGCAGGAGTTCTTCCCAGGAGAAAGGCTCGTTGATCTCGAGGTTGTCCGTGTCGGGTGGGATGCTGAACTCAGCAACTGATGTACGGGTAGGTTTTACCAACCGCTGAAAGTGGCTCATGGTTTTTGAGATGTTGAGGTATCTCACTCCTTTATACCGTAGAGGCATGGCAGACTACCCAACGATGGTAAATGTGCTAAGTAGAGGTCAGAGTTCGATCAACACTATTTTGTCCACGCTTTGAATCAGCCTTGCGTTGAAGGAACGCAGCCTACGTTAGATCACGTTCGACTCCCACAAATCAAGTTGCAGACCTTTGATGGTAGCATTGATGAGTGGCTGAGCTTCCGTGATTTGTGTACTTCGTTGATTCACTGGAAACCCGATCCGCCCGATGTCGATAAGTTTCACTACCTGAAAGGGTCACTGGTCACTGATCAAGCTTGATCCGCTTTCCATCACAAAGGCGAATTATCAAGTGGTTTGGGAAACATTAGCGAAACGATACAGCGACAGTAAATTAATCAAGCGCCACCAGGTCCAAGCGTTGTTCAAGCTTCCAACGTTGGGTAAGGAGTTAGCGTCCAAGCTTCAGTCCTTGTTGGAAGGATTTGAGGGTACTCTTCAGAATCTGGATCAGCTTGTCCAACCGCAGGACTACAAGGATTTGCTGCTATTGGACATTCTTGGTTCTCGACTGTCACGCGCCGAGGATGGGAAGAATATGCAGTCTCCAAGGGTCAATATTCCGTTAAGGATCTAACTGAATTTCTCCAAAAACGGATTTGAGTTTTTAGTTCGCTTCCATCCAAATCTGTTGAACAAGTCACAACGTGGCGCAAGCATCTGGTGGTCAATGCGTGGCTTGTTCAGAAGTTCATCTCCTATACCAACGTCCGTCCTTTCAACGTTTAACGGTGTCCGCTTGAGATGAGCTGCTTCGATATCATGCGCTCTGCAGCAACTGCTTCAGACGTGGACATCAGGCTTATTGCAGAACTTTCACAGTGACAAACTACAATAATTAAACCGATAATAAAACGGTTCCAAGACCGATACTGTCGACGATCTTTATCCACCGAATTTCTTTAATCGATTCACTTTCTTCTTCATTGTGATCATACCACTTGTCTGTCCTTCATGTTATCAACGTCGAATGGAATTTCTTGATTCTCTTCTTCGTCCTTTTGTTTATCAGGCCTATCATCATTATACAAATTAAAGTCTTCATCAGGTTTATCCTTCTGCTTCGCGTTCTCTTGATGCTGTTGCTTCTTCGTCTGCTCTTGCGTCGAATTAGCATCCTTTACGTGCTGATACTCTTCCGATTCTTCTTCTTTATCGGCATCCTCTTTGATATCATAGTCATGACTCATATCAATCCCGTTCTTCACCCTGCAAAAACTGATTACATTTTTTTTACATTAAATTTATTTTTATTCAGTTGTTTTGTTTTACCATATTTTTACATTGTAAGTGATCAACATTTGTTATTCATTCTTTACTAAAATTACTGAAAGCCATTGCACAGTGGTCCAGAATGCAGATTTAGGTGGAATGATATGTTTTGAGCCTGAAATTGAAACTTTAGACTAAAAGTCTCTTCTACAAAGTTGTTCCTTATAGTTAGGCCCTCATTTTTATGACAATGATTTCTAGGGTGGTTCCTATTATCATTAAAATCAAAAATCTAACTTTTTTGATTGAATAAATTAAGGTATACATTCTTCATCAAAGTTATAGCTGAGCTAATTTCAAGCAACTTTGTTGAAAATAACTTTTTTGTATCTCTTACATTGGCCGATTAAGAGCTATTTTCTTGAATTGAGTTAGGGTGGCTCTTAAAAAAAACAGTTATTTTGCTCTAGTTTTCTTATTTCGAATTTCTCAGCAAAAAACCTTTTTTTTTTGTTTATCTCAACCAGAGATATTAACATTTGAAAAATGCATATTTTTAGTATAAAAACGTCAATAACTCTTTGCGTCTTCTTAAGATCTAAAAGTTATTTCAAGACACCTTTGCTGAGAAATTAGAAATAAGAAAACTAGAGCAAAGCAACTGTTTTTAAGAGCCACCCTAATTAAATTCAAGAAAATAGCTCTAAATCGGCCAATTTAAGAGATACAAAAAAGTTATTCCCAACAAAGTTGCTTGAAATTAGCTCAGCTATAACTTTGCCCAAGAATGTATACCTTAATTTATTCAAACTAAAAAGTTAGATTTTTTATTTTAATGATAATAGGAACCACCCTAGAATTCATTGTCATAAAAATGAGGGCCTAACTATAAGGAACAACTTTGTAGAAGAGACTTTTAAACTAAAGTTGTAATTTCAGGCTCAAAACATATTATTCCACCTAAATCTGCATTCTGGACCACTGTGCATTGGCTAATTTTTACTAATTGGTATTTATCATTTTACAGTGTGAACATTTGTTCTATTTTAAATTTTTAAATTTTTAATTTCCTATCTAACTACATTAAATCCTAACTAAGCCTACTATTTACAAAATTATGGGTAAAGATTTCTAATTCTTTCGTACTCTGAATTTAGAGTCCTAGTTTGGTGCCAACTGACGAGCGCAGTCATTCTCTGGTCGATTTGATCGAGATTTGCCAGCCAATGAACGTCGGCTATCCGTGTGCGCGGAAGCAGATTCAAAATCATCTTCAGGAACTTGTTCTGCAGGACTTGGAACTTCTTCCGATTTGTTTTAACACAACCCTTCCATACCGGAGACCCATACTCCAGCATAGGCGCAACAATCTGCCTGTAGACAGCCAGCTTGTTGACGGTGGATGCTCTCGAGCGACGACGGTTGATGATCGGATACCGACGTTTCAGCATGATGGTGCCTTTTTTGACTCGGTCTTCCACGAGCGACCGAAAGAGGAGCTTACTGTCGAGAATCAAGCCAAGGTAGCGTACCTCGGGTGACCACTCAGTTTCAGCGTTCATAACCTTTATCTTTCACGACGGTTTGAGCCGGTCGGTGTTGCTATGCGGAAACACAATGGTTTGCGTTTTGGCCGCGTTCACACATATCTTCCAGTCGGTGAGATATATGGTGTAGGCATCCAATCCGTTTTGGAGCTTCGATACGAGAGTGCGCATTACTCGTCCCTTGTAGCTGATTGCCGAATCGTCAGCAAACAGCGACAGTGTTCCACCTTGCGGCAGTGTCGGTATGTCCGATGTGTACAGATTGTACAATATGAGTCCCAGGATGCTTCCTTGAGGGATACCAGCGGGTACATCATACGGTTCCGAGAGAGCACTGCCTATGCATACTTGAGACGTCCTGCCGTCGAGGTAGTCCGAAATGATCTTCACCAGGTAGCTGGGGAAACGAAATTGCAGAAGCTTGTGCACCAGCCGTCGTGCCACACGTTATTGAATGCCTTTTCGATGTCCAGTATCGCCATGACCGTTGTCTTCAAGACCGACTTCGCCTGATTGATGAGGTTTGAGACCCGCTTGAGTTGGTCCACCGTCGAGTGACCTCGTCGGAATCCAAATTGCTCGTCCAGTAGGTTGTCGTTTGCCTCGGTGTGCTCGAGGAGTCTGGCGTAAATAAGTTTTTCGAACAACTTGCTAAGCGAGGAAAGCAAACTGATCGGACGGTAGCTTGACGGGTTGGTAGGATCCTGTTGTTTTCCTCAATACAAAAACTACCAGTCTCACTGCCAACACTCCTATACTCGGTTTTGAGGACGGCAAGTAGCACAAAATATCATGAGCGCAGAACAACGAGCAAACCCAATATCGACCAACAATCAGCTGACGAAATAAAATTGACTTCACACTTATTTTGCTATTTAATTACAAGTGGACAGACAAATTCACTTCACTACATTACAAGATGAGAATTTCACCATCTCGTTTCGATCTTCAGTGTCAACAATAACAAATTGCGATGGCTGATCCCACTGCGCGATCAGCTGCATGCGCATGTATGTGTGCCATTCATTTTGGTCATCTTCATCAGCCGTCGAGAACTGTCAGTGGACGGGTGCGTTCACGGTATTCGCCCATTCGCAACTGGGTGTTCACTTTCACCGACCGCAACCCTTTCGCAACCGGGTGCTCGTTTTTACCAACGGTAACATTCCCCCACCCGTAAACCCTGTCGCTGATTCACTCGGGAACAGTACGGGGATTACTATTTTCCACTTCAATCTCCAAAACGGCTAACTTCGATACTGGTCGCAGCTTCT